GTAAAAATAATAAAATAAAAGTACCGTAAACTTTACAAACTGCACGTGTGTAACTTTTAAATGAAATAAATATCATAAATCTGTCTCAACCGGAGAATTTCATAGTTTATTTAAAATTTCTAATTTCCTGTCATCAACATCTGTGTAAACTAAAAATAAAGACTGTAAACTTTACAAACTGCACGTGTGTAACTTTTAAATGAAATAAATATAAATCTGTCTCAACCGGAGAATTTCATAGTTTATTTAAAATTTCTAATTTCCTGTCATCAACATCTGTGTAAACTAAAAATAAAGACTGTAAACTTTACAAACTGCACGTGTGTAACTTTTAAATGAAATAAATATAAATCTGTCTCAACCGGAGAATTTATTTTAGTTTATTTAAAATTTCTAATTTCCTGGCAGCTGTCATCAACATCAGTGTAAACTAAAAATAAAGACTGTAAACTTTACAAACTGTAACTTTTAAACACTCAGATGTTGTAAATTTGGTGGAAATTGATTCTTTTAAACGTCTAATTTACAGTAACTGAACGGCAGCTGCTGTCAGCAGAATTTAAACTTTGAAAATTATTATTTTATTATATTAATTTGTTCGTTTTTTTGTGATTTTTTTTTTAAATTTCCATTTTCATGCCAAAATCAAAAAGATAATTAAAGTTACTTGTCTTGGCTTCAAAGCTGCAGTAAGAAGTCAGCACTGTTTCAGTTTTAAAAAACAACCAGATGTTGAAAATCATAGCGACCCAAAAATGCTGCACAGAGGGCCGCCTCTGGCCCGCTAGCCTTCAGTTTGATTTGTTTTATTGGACTGGGCCGCAGACTGAGCCGTGGTGTTTCTGTTTGTCCAGGACCAAGTGGAAGAGGCAGACCGCGGTGGGCCTGGAGCTCCTGGCGGAAGCCGGGAACTACTCGGCCCTGCAGAGGATGTTCCCCTCCCCGTACTTCTACCCGCAGAGCCTCGTGTCCAACCTGGACCCCGGGGCGGCCCTCTACCTGTACCGGGGCCCCTCGGCGGCGCCGCCCCCGGCCCTACAGAGACCCCTGGTCCCGCGGATCCTGCTGCACGGCCTGCAGGGGGGCGGCGAGCCGCCGCCGCCCCCTCCTCCCCCTCTCCCCCCCATGTCCAGCGTCCTGGCTCGGCCCGCGCAGCAGCGGTGAGCCGGTCCGTGCTGCCCACCGGCTCCGGTTCTTGTTCCTCTTTGGAACAAAAACAAACTAAAAACCAGGAGGAAAAACTAAAAAAAACGTTTCGGAGGAACCGGATGGACTCTGAGGACGGACCGGACCGAACCGACTTTTGGACTTTTTTTTATTTTTATTCTTTGTATCTGGATCAGTCTGAAAGGACAGAAGTTTTATTGATAGTTTATTTATTTAT